TAGTAAACATTTTCCTACCTACTTTCAAGAAGTAAACTTTCCATTTTTGTTTCTCAAACAACCACTTCCGCTGGAAACAATAGAGGTACCCGGCAATTTTGAAACACTCAGGGAGGCCATGTTTGTTTACAACTCGGCCGCGGATCTGATCGCGCGCGCCATCGCTTATTACTCTCGCGAGTAATTTGCTTGCGTGTATCTTGGAATTCATTCTCCGCGCGGTCAAAAAAACCCTTTCGAGCCTCCTTACACAACTTTTCAGCATTGGAAACTGTATTACAAACACCCCATTGAAAAAAAAATATATATATATATATATTTACCACTTTGACATTATCTTCTAAGCCCCCTCCAATGTCAGGATCATCTGGAACCCATCTCTGAAAATAAAAGATATAACTGCATTACAACACAGAAAGGCATGCCACATTTAAAAGAAAACAAGCCATGGCTTCTTCTGGAAATGAGTAACTGGTCTCCATGAGATTCCTTCCACACTCTGCATAAGATATGTAGGAGGACCACACCTTGGTTTCACAAGATCTCAAATTTAAGATCAAATCTGGAAAAATATATCACAAAGCAACTATACATGCAGTGTGTACCTCCAGCTCACGCTCATTCATCTGACCATTGGTTTCCTTCTGATCAGCATTTGTGATGCCTGCATCTGTGAAAGAATCTGTAAGATGAAGGAAAGGAGTATAAAAGGTTGAACTTCTCATATGTGATTCTACAAGTAGTTGACCTCAACGGGTTCTCATTAGAAGGTGGGACCTAAGGTACAAGAAGAATCAATACTTGCATTCTGGGAAACTGGATGCAAAGATATTTAATTGAGATTTTTTTAAGTTCACCATTATCAATCTGTTTGAAACACATCCCTCCTCAACTATTCTTGTTTCAACAGTCTTTAATGTCTGTTATCCATCTCTTATCAAAAAATATTTGGTAGTTACCAGATTAAAAAAGGTGTGACATATCTCCTTTACGTCATTTTTTTAAAATTTCATGGTCTCCTGTGGGTGTCCCTCACAAATCAAAACTTGTGATCCATGATTTGTGGCTGAAACACTCCATCAGAGGTATTTTAGGAGCTCACTGACAAAAAACTCCCCACTTGACTATCGTGACCTCTGTTTAGGTTCTAAAACTGTTGGTGCAGTCCTTTTCTAGCTGCTCTGTCTTCACCCTTTAACTGCCACAAGTGATTAACATGTAACTTCTCGCTATAATATCCCTTCATTATCCAGCAAACAGGTAATGAGAGAACTCAAACTCATCGGTTAGAACTTGTCATCCTTATCTAACACCAAATTCTCGTTGCTGATTAACAAGGAAATGTTTAGCAGCCAGAGGGGAGAATTAACAATCAGATCTTGGAAGCAATTACTGTTCTTGGGTTCAGACCTTTTACCGTATCCATTTTTCAGTTATGCAAATGTTCTGGTAGCTAGTCTTACCAACTGAGGTTGCAATCTCTGGTTCCTCTGTTTTGGTTATTTTGACACTCACAATATCTTTCAGTGCAATCAGGAGATTGCTGATTAGACCATCACGGCTGGGTAAAGTTTGTTCATCCTTAGAAAAATAATATACAAAAGAGGAGTTAAAAAATGTAGTCTCCCTCAAGTGACCAAGACAGCATTTCTCCTTACAATATACATACAATACCCAGCAACCAAGTAATGAGAAAATAGAAAAATATCTATTAGGGAATTACGAGTTGATACAATACCAAATTCTCTGCACTAACATCATCAGAATTGTATTGCAAACAGTAGGGAGAGTTACAAATGAGATCTTAGGAGTGAAAAGGTTGAGGTGTAGATCAGTGTTTCAGTTGTCTCTACTGGTCACCATCAGATCACAACAAACTTTAATGGGCATATTCTTTTAATACTGCAGTCACCCATCATTATCATGAACTTTGTCATTATTCCTAGTGCATATAGATTCCTTCCATGCATCCTTTTGTGAACACAAATGAACAAGGGGGTTTCTCGAGAAACTATGGTACTATGTTGGTAGTGGGTACAACAAGGTAACTTGATTTCATCAACTGAGTTGATGATGTAACCTGGCCTCCGTTTAAGGAGTTTTGAAAGCTGACCTTTCAACTGCTAGACTTTCATCACAGCAGATCAACTCAGTTGATTAAGCCAAATTAACTTGTTACCATAGCTACACAATAAAGAAAGAAACACTAGATTTCCCACAATTCATGGCATAATTTACCTCAATGACAAGTCCGTTGCTTTTCTTTTGTTGTACAAGATGAACTTCCCCTAGGGAACATTCAAACTACAGAAGAGAAAAAGTTCTGATTTAAGTTTTTAGAATTTTATGATTCTTTGCCACTGCCATGGGAAATTGTTTGAATCATGGGTGCCAACAATTTGTATTAATAATTATGATAAGCTAAGTTATACACACATTTTGACTGGCTCTTACTTGCAATCTATTGGAGATCAGAGGCATACATGACAGCACCATCAACAACATTTCGCCTTTTTATCAGAAAAAAACAAATACATTCCTTGTTTCCCTGGGTCTGTACAGTAATAGATCAGAGGAGAAGTCAAAATGCAGTAAGAACATCACTGACAGACAAAGCTACACCTTGCGTGCCACTTTTTGGTGTTCTTACCACATTGTGACATAATCTGTGATATATTTCAGTACAGACCCATGGCAACATGGATTCTGTTTGTTAATGTGAGTGAAATATTCTGTTTAAAAACCCACCTTGGAGGAAACAGCTTTGAGGATTCCTTCATAGATATCACCATTGACAACCTGAACACGGGCTGTCTCACCCTGTAGAAGTAGTAAATTGAAGCACTGATTAAACATTCTTTTCTTTTTCTAGGTAGAAGAGAAACACCAGCAAAAGGATGAGGAAAATGGAAACATAACATAAGTTAGCTTAACCTATAATTAACCCTTTAATTCCCCCAAGTGACTAAAACAGAATTTCTCCTTACAATAACAGTATAACAGCAAGTACACAGGTGATGAGAAAGTATCATTTAGGGGGTTATTAGGTGATCTTATGTCGAATTCTTCTACTAATTCAGAGATTCTCCAAAAAAAAAATTCACACTACAGTTAACTGGTTCTACCTATTGCTCTAAGATGCACGAATCAAGCAGAAGTTAGATCGAAGTAGGGTAACATCTGTTAAGAAAAAGGGAACCTGATAATTCCACTTTAATCCAGTAAAACATAAATGTGCAAATCCAATTATATGCTTACCAAATTGCTGGTAACAGAGTAAACCATGTACTTGTTTGAGAAGATATCTGTACCGTTGCCATCCTCAAACTGAGAAAAAGAATGGTAGGAGATGAGAAACTTCAGAGTGTATACAACACTCTATCTTCTAAAAAATAACAGCCAGTAACAATCGCTTATGGTAAGCAGCTTTGATTGACATCAACTCTCAATTAAAATCTATAGAAGTTAATAATTCACATATTGCACAGAAATTATTTTCCCAATCTTGCACTCTTACTTTGGCAAAGTCAAATGTCTGAGGAGGAGGACTTGCACTAGAACCTGGTCTGAAATTTTTTTGACCCCTGGAAAAAGAAAAAAAAAAAAAAAGAAAGAAAACAGACATATCTATGTTACTTGCATGAAACACGATATTTAGAGAGTGGGATAAAAATAGACCTGACAGATACAACGGAAGAACCACTTCCAGGCTATTAAAATCTACCGTTCAACCTGTACACTTGATCTCCTTCAAATCATTTTACTAATTGAACGACAGATCTTGAGCAATATAAATTTAAAAACGTAGGTAATAATTGTAACCAAGACCAGAGAAACTTTCCGGAAATACCATAAACACGTGAACGACATTTTCAGATCGGCCATGAGTCAGAGGATAATCATTGGAGGTAAAAATAAATAAATTTTAAGCCACCAAGGCAGGTTTAGCGAGATCTCGAGTGTTATTTTAAACACTAAACTGATGTTTGCACTGTTGAACGTCCTAAACATGACAGGAGAAATAGTAAAGATAGAGGAAATACCACAATGAAAATATTTTGGTGAGGGATCGGGATCGTACGAGTGCACGACAAAGTCTGATGGTCCACGTTGGCGACAATTGCTTCTCAAGTCAAAACTCGGCGTAATCGAGGGTGTTAAGCAAAAAAACATAACAGTTGATGATCCCCGCAATGCTACCACACTAAAGTCACACTAATCTTGAGGAATTATGACTGAATTGAAAAAAAGAGCCGGTCTATAGTCTGCCCTTTAGATGAAATTGCATCACGGCTAGAAATGAGGCTCTTGACTCGCCGGTACTGAATGGGTTCCTCTTCATCAAACAAAATATGATTGAACTTGAGGTTTGATTATATTTCCCGGACTTCAAGACGATAAAAGAATGCTGGAAAAGTTTGCCTAACTCTACGAATAACTACCTGCCACTGCCTCCACGAGCTTTGCCTCGATGTTTCTGAACACTCATACTCGAGGAAACTTCGCACTTTATATTCCATGAGTTTCACAACCACATTTTCGCGGATAAAACGCCTATAGCGTCGACGATTTCAGTGATTCAAGTGGAAACCTAATTCATTGATTGCAACATTTACCATGGAAAGCTTTCTAGGCAGTCATAAGGAAGCGACTGCATCTATTTCCTTCCCTTTCAAACAATCCTGCGTAATAGAACTAGTTTGCTCCCGCGCGACTATTGCACCTTTTGTCTTTTTAGAGAGAATTTGTCTTTTTATCATTGAGGGAAAGCCGAGCGAACTGAATTTCCCTCGCATTGGCAAACCTGGTATGATGACATGCCAACAGTAAGTCCGCCTTAAAACACTTAAATCATGGAGTTTGATAAGAATCGATTATGAAAAGAAAAAAACATTTCCTTCAAAAAGTTGATGTTGAGACTGTAAGAAAAGATACTGAGGAAGTACAAAGCGATGGATAAATCAGACGACGAATCCATCGGGCAGTTTTTCAGATTTGAAATAACTTCAGTTTTTCGAAAACAAAGAGCCGTTTTACCCATCAGATCGCACGAATAGAACTGCATGTATGAAACAACACCAGCAGAGTTTCTCCGCACCTCGTAATATATAAATTCTCAATACCGTGCACAAGATCTTTTCTTCCTTTGATACGTTCCCGGCACACTCCGGGCTCCCATCCGAAGGATCCAGACTCTCCCATCCGACTCAACTGTCTCATTCGACAAAATAATTATCGCCTTTTTTTCGTGAAAGTTAGTTAACTTCCGCATGTTTCATATCTTGCACAATATATAGCCGTCCACAGGTTTTCTAGAACTATTCTAGAACTACACTGGTTACATACGCTTGATGGAGACTGTTGTGACTCGTAACTTAATGGAGTCAGGAGTTAAGCAGAGGGGTAAGTCATAATATTTGTCAAAAAAAGTTGGTTTTCCCGTGGCAAAAGATTGTTGGCTACACTTTGGCCGGGCATTTCTCTATGATTCACCATATAAATTCGTGTCTTCTTCGGCCAGAGACTTTCGCTGTCTCTTGGCCAGGCATTTCTTTATATTTTTGAAAAGCTGGTTCTTCCTTGTTATGAAAACCCCAAGTTTTTCGAGAATACAGAGCATACGCCAGTCACTGAAGCCTATCATTGTAGCCGTGTCTTTTGACATAGATCTAGACATTTCTTGATTTCCTTATTCTTTGCATAGCATGTTAGTGTTTTTGTCATAAGCGGCATTTGCAGTCAGGGTGTTGGCCTTTGATATATAGATGTGTCTAGACCACATATTCGAAGAATACAGAGCCAGCGCTAGTCCCTGAACTCTGGAATAGCCGTGCCTTGTTTGGCCTTAGGTCTTGTTATATCTTGAATTTCTATATTTTTTTTTGGTAGAACTTTTTGTTTTTGTCTGCCTTTGAGGTCAATGTATTGGCCTTTTATATTTGGTCGTTTCATCTTCAGAAAGAGACTTTCACTTACTCTCGGCCAGGCATTTCTTTATATTTTTAAAAATCTGGGTGTTTCTTGAAAGGACGAAGGCCATGTAATCCGAGGAATACAGAGCATGCGGTAGTCTCTGAAATCTAGAGTAGATTTGTCTTCTTCTGCTGTGGATCTTTGTTTCCTGATTTTCTTATTTTTTAGCATAGCATGTTATTGTTTTTGTTATAAGCTGCATTTGTAGTCATGGTGGTAGTTTTATATATATGTGTCTTCTTTAGCCTGGGACTATCTCTTACTCTTAGCCAGGTATTTCTTTATAGACCACAAAGAATTAGAACATGTGCTTGTCTCTGGAGTCTAGAATAGCCTTGTCTTCTTCCGCTACAGATCTTGATATTGCTCAATTTTCTTAATTTGCACAGCATGTTATTTTTTTTTTGTGGCTTCTGCCTCCTATACGAGGTGAAGCCACAGCCTCCTATACGAGGTGAAGCCACAGCCTCCTATGCGAGGTGAAGCCACAGCCTCCTATGCGAGGTGAAGCCACAGCCTCCTATGCGAGGTGAAGCCACAGCCTCCTATGCGAGGTGAAGCCACAGCCTCCTATGCGAGGTGAAGCCACAGCCTCCTATGCGAGGTGAAGCCACAGCCTCCTATGCGAGGTGAAGCCACAGCCTCCTATGCGAGGTGAAGCCACAGCCTCCTATGCGAGGTGAAGCCACAGCCTCCTATGCGAGGTGAAGCCACAGCCTCCTATGCGAGGTGAAGCCACAGCCTCCTATGCGAGGTGAAGCCACAGCCTCCTATGCGAGGTGAAGCCACAGCCTCCTATGCGAGGTGAAGCCACAGCCTCCTATGCGAGGTGAAGCCACAGCCTCCTATG